GGACTTGAATGATTGTTGTGTTAACTTTGATTCAACATAAGTGTTTCATTTATATTTTGAGTCTATATGGATGTATGGGATGTGTTCAAATTTGACTAACCACCTTAATGTGTCAAAATTAACATGTCAAAGTCTAGCATGCTACATATTAGAAGACTTAAGAAAGTAAGCAGATGGATTATTCATGTCATTGATATTAGGCATATTAGACATTACATGGAATTTAAGCATTCCACCATCCGCATATCCCTTGCCTATAAACATACCCTTTTTGGTTAATACAAACTTATGTGACTCATACACTAAGCAAATTACATGATTCTTCAACAACCATCCAAAGACTAAGTTCTTCTTAATCTCTAGAACATGCAACATATCATTAAGTATTAGCCCTTTTCTAGGTGATACTATTTCTGAAATATTAAACACCAAATTTAAGTATCTAGAATCACAATTTTCACATAACTTTCTGCCTCTCAACACGGACAGAAACAGAAAATATGCACAACTTTAACATTCTTGAACCACTTCTTCTTTGAGCACACATGACGGGTAGCACCCGTATCAATCCACCACTCAATGGAGTTAGCATTAATATAGTTCACTTCAGAAATCAATCTACTCTGAATGGTGACAATTCTGAAATTATTTATACACCAAATGTAAGTGTTTAGGATTACTATTTTCAGAAAATATTTATACCTCTTGCTCGGACATAACTCAACATATTATAAAATAGCCAAAACTATTGTCAAAATCTATAATCTATTTCAGAAATATATTTCAGCAATTCTCAAATCAGAAAACCAGTTTCTGAAACTCTAAAGGCTGAAATTTTGATTCTGAAATTCTAGACTGAAACCGAAATTTTCTGAACTTCTGAAACTAAAATTGCTATAACTAAAAATTCTGAAATCTAAAATACGAAAATAAGATATGTTTTTTTAAAAATTAAATTTGATTTTTAGTAAATCAAGTTGTTTTTGTCAATTTTCTGATTTTGCAGTGACGGAAGTTGTTTTATAGGAAAATAACTAAAAGTTGTTGTTTTCCAGCAAAAACCTAAGCAAATATGTAGCAAACTATGCCAATGACAATTTTTAAATATGGATCTGCAAATCTGAAAATCTGAATTCTAATGCAGAAATTTATGATGCCAAATCTGATGCTTAAATTCTAATTTCATAAACTAATGTTATAATTTCTGGAAAATAGATGTAAAATTGATTTCTGATAGAAAACTAATACACAAGTTTGATACAAATATGATGCTTAACTGGTTTCAGAATGTTGTTTTCTTAGAAAACTGATTTCTGATACAAAACTGATACACATTTCTGATGTATATCTGATACTAAACTTCTGAAATAGGAAATTTTGATGAATAAACTATTGCAGTGTCTGATATAAAACCTAATGTATTTTTTGATGTAATATCTGATGTAGAAAATATGATCTAGAAAATCAGAATCAGAAAACTGATACTAAATTCTGATATAAACTCTGATGATATCTGATGCGTAAATCTGATGAAAAATTGATGCTGAAATCAGAAATTTGTTGCATAAAATCCGAAGCAAAAACTTCTAATGCATAAAATCTGATTCTAAATTCTAAAATCAGCATTCTGAAATCTGACGCAAAATTGTATATTATAAAACAATTTCTCAAAATATGATTGAGAAATTTTTTGATGAAGAATCAACAAAGAATTTTTTTTCTTTATTTTCTTTGAAAATTGAGCAGTAAAAAACACCAAAAAATGTATTTTTTCCAGTTCGTTTTGTACAAACGAATTTGTTTTAATATTATAGGAATAATATTATGAAAAATATACCAAATCAAACAAGAAAATAGAAAATGTAGAGACACGTATTTAACACAGTGTCCTTAAAACAAATTCGTCCGCTACCGAATGTTTTGTTTTCCAGGATACAATAGCTTAAAGTGATACTCCGAGATCACCCGAACCTAAATTAGTCCTAGATTTTATCATGAAGCAACAAAAAAACGAAGTAGAAATTGCAGAAGAAGAAATCTAGAGTTTCATTTGTCATGTCTTTCAATTATTCACTCACAACCTCTATTTATACATGAAACATGTAAAATAAATATAGGATTAATGTGTAATTGATGACAATTAATCCCAAGCATTGTAACTGAAAATCGATGATTAATATGGTAATTATGTCGTAGTTTTCACTTACGAAAAAAGAAAGAGATATTGCAAAAAAGGTCCTTGAACTTAACCACATGATGCACTCTAGCACACACGTTTAAGTCATACAAAGCTTAGAAGCCTTTGTACTTATACATCCACTTTCTTTTCATTCTCCCACCCATGTACGATGAACTAAAACATATTAAACTTATTTATTACTTCTTCTAACACCTTTATTTAAAGGATTAATTTCTCATTCATCTTAAATCCATTTTGGATGTGTGATATACCAAAACGAAGGTATCATGGAGGAGAACACAAACATAGAACCATTTATTCATTTTGATAATGGTTTAGGGTTCGAATTTTGTGTTAAAAAATAAAGAAACCCCATTTTTATAAATTGGTTAAAACCAATTTTCCAATAATCTTCCACATGAATGAAAATTGATCAAACATTTTTAAGCTACCTAGATAAAATTTAGTAGTTGAATCATGCATAGGATAGGTAGGTGTTACCCTTTAAACTTTCCCTTAAGATACATATTTATTTTACTAGCAGACCAGTAGACTCGGTCTCTTTGAACTGTTCTGTCGTGTGTGTAAATAATCAAAAAGGTCCTTGAACTTAACCACTTGATGCTGTAACGTCCCAAAAATTTCGAGTAAAAATTTCATTTTAATAACACTAATTCATATAACATTCCATTCCCAAAATAATTAGATGTGGAAAAATAGTATTTAAACATCACAGTAAAAAAATCACGATTAATAATATGCAAAATAAACTCTAGGGGATGTTGTGAAGTCACGTCGGGCCCTTCCCTTTCGAACCGGAAGTACCTGAAACCATAAATATGAAACCTTAAGCACAAAGCTTAGTGAGTTCCCCAAAATACCGTATACCATACATATACGTAAGCTCAAGGTTGTATCGGGTCTATTTCACCACCGAGTCTATTCCAACTCATATGTCATCTCAAGGCTGTATCGGGTCTATTTCACCCCCGAGTCTATTTCAACTCAATCGGTATTTTTCAACCGTACGAGTCTATTTCACCCCACATACATATATCAAACAAGCATACATGCATACATCAAGAGTCACAATAACAACAAGCCAATACAACCCTAATATCCTACAGTATAGTGAGCAAACTCACCTCAGTCTAGAGTAACTGAACCACACGCGTTGCTGCTACCGGGCTCCTCATACTGAACACATCTAAATTATCCCTAATCAACAATTAAAGAAATTTCCCATAGTCTAAGGTCCAATTCATGCTCTAACATATCAATGGGTAAAAGACTATTTTACCCTTCCCACATCTGACCCAACAACTCATGGCCCAAATCCCAAAAGACCCAAGTCCCAAAAATGACCCAAAAGCCCATATGGTGAGTACCCCCCGCGTACCAACCTAGCATGCCCACGGGGGGGGGGGGTGAGTACCCCCAAAAAATGGCCCAAAAGCCCATATGGTGAGTACCCCCCGCGTACCTCATTGATAATTGATCTTCTGGTCATGGTCCCAAATTAAGAAACGAATCGAAACAGGGTGTTACAACTCTCCCCCACTTAAATTAGATTTCGTCCTCGAAATCATTCCTTAATACTTCCTCTGCCGTCCTAATCGATCCTACATGCACTTCCCAAATTTCGTTTAAGTCGGAAGATTCATCCCATACAGATGACCGCCTTCCAATCTTGCCATTCAAACCCCATTTTAGCATAAATCACTTACCCCCTCCGAAAGAATGAACCTTAACACCCTGCCCTCAGCCAATGAAAGAAACCCAATTGCTCTGCTGGAGAACTGAAACAACTACCTTAATCTTCCCAACTAGAAGACCTCAAATCACAGCGTCAACCCCTCAAAGCAGGAAACTTCTCGAAGGCTGGAACCAATCAATTAAAAACCCCAAAAAATTATTTCCTAAGACTGCTGATCATTCATTTGACGTACCAGTCCCTAATTCCTGACTAGGAACACCACTCAACCATGCAGAAGAAATACCCAGAATATACCGATCGTGAATTTCACCCACTCCCAATCCGGAGATTGTACCAACAACCTTAAATTCGTACTTGACTTCCTTGCAATTCATCAATAACCTGATGATCCCACAACTATAATGATGGTCAATCCAAGAATCTCACATTGCATCCAAATCCCTCACCATCTCAGGTGTACCTCCACCTGACAAGACACTTGAGGTATTACAACGATGATGGAAAACTTTTAGTGAAGATGTTTGCATAGTAAGAAATGAATGATGAAGGACTCAAACCTTGCCCAATGATAACGGATTAAATGAGTGTTGATTTTGATATGTTTGGTACGTTGATATTGTACCGGGTTAGAGGACATGTAAAACATGCTAACTTTTTCATAGTAGACAATAATAGATTTGGGGAACAAGGAGTGGAGCACCCACAGGAGATTGCATAACAAACATCCAAATATGACAATTTCATTTATCCCTTGTATGACCATGAGAAAAGATTACTATCGAGGAAAACGTGATAGCCTGAAGTGTATTGTCTTATGGTCGGACAAATGCCTTAGTCGGCATTTGAATAGACAATGAGATATGTAGAAGTATACGTGTGAATCTTGAGGCCGATGTCAAAGGTTCAACAAAACATAACGAAGAATGTGCTTAAGGGCGCCAAATTGGGCCTCACAAGAGTAAAAGCCCACAAAATGAGAAATCAAACAAGTTTATTTAGTTTTAAATGGACTGAATTTGTTAGGTTTTATTATTGGGCTTAAACAGAAAGAGCTCAAATAAAATAGTCCACGAAACATGAGAACAAGAAGACAGCACAGCAACCCACGGATGACCCATTCACTTTTCATTTCCCCCAAAACAAACGACTCACTAGTCACTCCGCCTTCTATCTTCTTCATCTGCTTTAAAATTTCTACCCTTTTCGCCACTTCTGTCACTGAATTCCTTTCGCTACTCAATGGCGTCAATTAACTTTAACCCCTTTGGGGAAAATTGGTTCAAGAAGCCACCAAACCCTCTACAATCTATAAACATTCACGCTTTTGCAGATTCCATAAACCCGTTCAAACACCAACCTCAATCCGATCCATTCTCTTCACCCTTTGCCGCTCTCTCTATTTCCAACCCATTCAAGAAAAAAACCGAACCCGATTCCCAAAGACCCAAACCAGGATACTACAAGAGATTGCTTGAACAGTTCTACTGGGAGTCAGAAAATCGGCCCGATTACCGTCACACCCCAGAAGTTGAGAGGATTCTAAACGAAGACCCAATTTGGGAAAAGAAAGAGAATCCAACCCAAGAAGAGATTGAAGAGAACGAGAGATGGTTGAAGGAATTTCGTGAGAGTCCAGTTGTTCGTTTTTTAGCCCGAGCAGAGGAGGTTATGGATGAGATTAATGAAATGGAGCTTAAAGAGAATTCGAAACCATATAGAAGTGAGGATAAGAAGTATTGGCAGTCGATTCCGCATGTCATCGGACCCGACGGCCGGCCAATGCCAAGGAAAGCTATAAAGACTAGGAAGGAGTCCGATGACAAGTTTTGGGATTTTGCAAAGCAATTCTTCTTCGGGTTATGGGGATTCCGGCAACGGCCGTATCCTCCCGGCCGACCAATTGATGTTGCTCAAGCTATTGGGTACAAGAGGCTGGAGAAGAGATATTATGATTGTAAGTTTCACTTGTTTCTTATAATGCTGAATTCTTTTTATCAAAACTTTTCCCAATTTGCTATACGAATCTGATAGTTACACTTGAAAGTGATAATGTGCTATTGTGGATTGTTCTAGTTATCATGAGGTCTGGTGGATTTTTCTACAAAGATCGAATAGGTCGAACAAGGGGACCTTGTGAGTTGATACAGCTAAAAACAGCTTGGGGAGCTGGAATCATCGATAAATATACTTTCATTTGGGGTGATGACATGGACGAGTGGGTCCCAATCGGCATGATTTATGGTATGGAGCGTGCAATTGCCACTTGGGAAGGTTCGTATTTGTGTACTTTGTAATCTTGCTTCTTAAAATGCAGATATAAAGTTGGCTCTTTGAGCATATAAACAGCTTGTTTCAATTTCAGTGAGATTAGGTGCTGCAGCGACAGCTTTTATTCACAAACTACAAAAGGGTATCCCTCCGTGGGTCCCGCTAAAAGGGTTTGAGAAAAAAAGCAGGAAACAGCTGCAAGATGAAGCATATGAAAGCAAGAAAAGGGATTTGGCTGTTTTAGAAGCTAATGATGGGATTTGGCCTGGTGTGAGAATTCCTAGTCATGCTTTGTTTCTTTGGGCTAGTGGATCCGAACTCACATCGATTTTGGAACAAGACCATATGCCTAACAAATACATTCCCAAAGATATGAGGTAATAATACTGTTTTTGTCTCATTGACATCAGTTTCCGTGTCAGTATCTAGATGTAGTACAAGGTTGTCTGTTTGTTTTGTCCTGTCTTGTCCTGTTAACAAATTATGGTTTCCTACAGGAAACAGCTGCAAAAAGCAATTCCAGGGTTGAGGCCATGGGAAGTTTTAAGTGTAGAACAAGCGATGGATCAGATAACATATGGTGGTGAATGGTATCGCGAACCTCTTGGTATATTTAGAACCTGGCCTCCTTACATTGAGGAATGGAATGAAGATGTCGAGGTATGGCAATTGCATTTGCACAACAGAATCAGTATCAGTAACAGTAACAATTTGTTACTTGGGTGTTTTTGTTTGGCAATTGCAGGAGTTAGTTGACTCATACCAGCAATTCACGGAGCTGATGTGTGAGTTTTTGGAGGTAACAATTCCAGGGTTCGATAAGGTAATGAAAAAGGTGGAATCGGAAGCTGAGGGGAAATTCAGAAGACGGGTGCAAAGTGGAAAGAAAAAAATAGAAGCAATGAAGCGGGCCCAACAACCAAAAAGTATAGTTCCTGTTCCTGACAATGAAGACGAAGAAGAAGAAGATGATGATCAATGAGCTCTTGTGTTTGTGTTTTTTTCTTAAAGAATTGTTTTTGGGTAGAGTGTGTCCATGATAATTATGTTGTAAGTTTTTCTAGATGTTACATGAGATGAACCCTATTTGTGTTCAACTTTTCTTTTTCTTTTATGGTATTTGAGTTTGTCTCGAAAGAAAAAGTCTCCTTTTTCTTAAACAAGTGCAATCGATTACCTGATAGTATTATCATGCGCAAGGAAAAGATGGACGGTTTGAAAATTCCTTCTCCCTACATGAATTATTATATATATATTAAAGTTGTGGAAGAAAGGAATAGTAAATTTGTGATACTTTGTCCAAGTTTGGTCCCTTGATTTACATATCCAGTCCCTATACTTCTTTAATTAATTTATTCATGTCCTTTTGTTTGTGTTCCATTCAACTTCCCATTTTTTTGGCAGAATTGGTCCCTATATTATTGTTGGAAGTTAGTAATACTAAATTTGGATGTTTTTGGCAACTTTGGTCATTGTTCTTTACCCATTTTGACACTTTTGGTCATTGCAATCAATATTTTTACACTTTTTTGGAACCTTTTAATATTTAAAGTTTGGCCACAAAACTTTAACGGTTTGACAACTTTGATCCATTTTCTAAAAAGTTGCTAATTCCTACCCCTTTAATTCTTTAGCCATTTTTCACACTTCTGGTCCTTGCAGTCAAAACTTTTACATTTTTTATCCGGGGCAAAGCCCAGACTTTTCATCATTGCACTTTCTATGTCTGTCATATTTATCAATTCGGAAACAACATTGAAAGCTTTTGGCCCCCGCGTAGCGGGGGTAACCTTTCTAGTTTATATATAAAAACCTTTATTCTTATTAGGGTAAATTACACCAATCGTCTCTCGTGCATACAAAAATCATGTTTAGTCCTTATTTTAAAAAATTAGCTCGGACCGTTCCTCATTTTGTTTAAACTTACATGTTTGATCCCTCAAGACCTAAAATGACTATATCGCCCCTACCAATTTCTTTTAATGTTTTTAATTTATTTATAAGGCCTTTTAATTTATTTATATAATTATATTAAATATTTGTGGGTTCCACCTCCTTTTATCCTCCATTCCTCATCTTTTTTTTTTAACAGTCCACCACCGTATACATTCCCCAAGCCTAAAATCAAAATCGGTCATGAAATCCCTCGATTTGAGCTCTAGATTGTTCAACTTCAGCATACATCACACGTTCACCACCATATAATGAAAAAGAAGAGGGATTGATTGAGGGAAGGGGGATATCGTCTTCTTCACCCCTACAACACCATTTACCACCCTTATACACATTATCTTTACCACCATGACGATAAACCTTTTCCCTCCATCACAGCCAACCATTCGCCACCATTACACAGTTTTCATTCCTCATCCACACACCATCGACCACCATCATCGACCCTTACCACTTACCCGCACAAAACCAACCACAATCACTGCCATAAACCATTCATTAAAAATCATCATCACCACCTGTTCAATCGACCTTCAATCATCATCAGACCATCACAAATTTGCCAAATAAACACCTGAAATCAAGCCTAAATAAACCCTAAACCTGCAAATGAACTCTAACTAAACCCTAAACATGTAAATCGGAACCCATGAGTTGCATGAGAAGAAAGAAGACTCCGATCGACACCTTTGGTGGATGAATAGTATCACCTTCGGGTGTCTAATTCGCATTCATCAACCCACCCTAAGAACGGAGGGTTGTCGTTAGTGATGGTGCATGTGATGATGTTGCTGCAAAGAAGAAAGGGGGTAAGAGATACAGTGAGAAAGAGACGGTGGTGGTATAGTAGGTATTTCAAGGTGGTGCTAGGTGGTGGTCGGGTGGCCGGATTTTGACTTCAAGGTGGTTCGTCAGTGGTGGTATTTCTAGGGTGGAGTGGGTAGGGGTTTGAGATACCGAGTTCATCTTTAACAACATCGAGCGTTGGGGGCATATTTAATTTTCTATTTTTTAAATTAATAATAATAATATTAACATTAAACTAATTGGAAAAGAACTCCACAAAGGGCATAATGGTCATTCCAGATTAGGTACGGACTAAAATCGCAACAAAACCGCATATTAGGTATGAAACGTGCAAGTTTAAACCAAACAATGGATGGTCTAAGTTAATTTTTGAAAATAGGGACTAAACGTGCATTTTGGCACCTACTCAAGGGACAATTTGTGTAATTTACTCTTCTTATTATTATTTTCTTCCGATATATAAGCCTTCCATAACTGAAACTAATAATAAAGATGATAAATGATAACATTTTCGAAACCCTTTTGAAATCTGAAATTCTTTTTTGTGGGTTGCTAGAATTAATTAGGCCCATTTAATCTTATGTTCATATGTAGCATAGGGTTTCCTTAGTGATGATATTACTCATTTTGTCTAGTTTCTCTTTTACGTAATGTTTTGTATATGTAATGAGGCTTTAACCTCACATTGAATTCATAAATATATTCAAATGGTTGTTCCTAAACCATTTTAGGCTGATGCTATCTCGACTGCCCGTTTTCTCATCAATCGTATGCCTTCAGTTGTTTTGGATGGTGGCATTCCAATCTCAACCTTGTTCCCTACAAAAGCATTGTTTCCCATTGATCGAAATATTTTTGGTAGTACTTGTTTTGTTCGTGACACTCGCCCACATATAATTAAGTTGGATCCAAAGTCTCTCAAATGTGTTTTTCTTGGTTACTCTCGACTCCAAAAAGGGTATAAGTGTTTCGCTCCTACCCTTAATCGATATATTATCTCTCGAGATGTTACATTTCATGAGAATCTACCTTTCTTCCTTGTATCTGTATTAAATCAATATAATAATGATGATTTGTTAGTTTATACTTGTAGCATCCGGGATTTTCCAGATATTATTAAACATTTTAAGTTGAAGAATGGAATGGTTTGTTTTGGGTTTTTGACCTTTGGGCCTTATTAGTGGACTGAGGAAGTGACGTACGCAGGGCGTACACAGCCATGTACGCCCAACGTACTCGTGAGAATGAACCGCGGAGGCCAGGTGCGTACGCCCATCGTACCAGGAGTACGCCCAACGTACGCATGCATCTCATTAAACCCTAAAATTTAGGGTTTACTCCCTATATAAAGAACATAACTCCTGTTTTTTCAGCCTCCCTTCACTCTTACCCAGCCACCACGAAAACCCTAGCTCCCTTTGTGTGCCTTTGTGTTCTAGAAGCCATTTGAGAGTGCTTTTGGTATTGTTTTAGTGAGAAAAGAAGAAATGAGCTTGAAGAAGAAGCAAGGATCCACCAAGAGCTTGTAGATCCAGAGGTTTGACACCATTTCTGACTCCTTTGAGGTATCAAGCTCCATACTTGACCATTGTATGCTTAGATTTGTTTATTTGGGGGGTTTTTATGTCCTTTTTGACCCCATTGTTGGAAGTGTTTGAGTATTGTTGGTTCCAGAGCATAAGAACTGTCCTTTTGGGATCTTAGAGGCACTAAGAACCATAAAAATCGGACCTTGATGGTTAAGCCACAACCATGCAAGTGTTATTGGGTCTTAAAGTTTGTTAAAAGGACCAAAATCATGTTTTGACCCCAACCTTGCATGCAAGCACATAAAGTTTGTGACTTTATGGTCTAGGAGGTCTTAAAGGACCTGGATTTGTATTTTGGACGTAAAGACTTAACTGATTAAGTCATGGATGAAGTCCCAAAGAAGCCGGCCAGTACGTTGGGCGTACTCCCTGGTACGTCGCGCGTACTGGGTCAACTCCCCGATCTGGTCAAGGCCAGCGCACGCTGGGCGTACATGCCAAGTACGCCGTGCGTACGCATGCAGAATGAGTGTTTTGGGCTTTGGGCCTTAAGGAAATAGGCCTAGACTTTTGGGCCCAGTGGCTCGCTGGGAAGTATAATTCTGGACTTAGGAATCTGAATTTAGGGTATTGGGCCTATTGGGCCACAAATGGACCCCTTGGAACCATTATATTAGGACTTGAACTTTTGGGCCCATTTGGGGGTTAAGGCCCAATTCAGAAATTGGGCAATTAGTGGGCCCTTAGGGAGCCCTTATTAGGCCATATGAGGGTTGGACTTCATAAGCTAGAATTTGGAACTTATGTATGTTCCAATTGGACCGAGGGGTAAAATGGTCATTTTACCTTGAGCAGTGTTGTGGATTCTGATTGAGTATTATTATTATTATGATAGCTAGGAGTCATCAGAGCAGCTGTTAGAGGTTACTTTTCGTGAGATTCGACACTCAGCTTTACGAGGTGAGTTACCTTCCAGTAGTGGTGGGTCTACGGCCACAATGCCGGCCCACTAGTAGGAGTTGTATGTTAGATGATTGTCTTTGTGATATTCATCTAGGTTTGTTGTTACCTGTTATGTTTTCTGTACTAGCATGATATGATGTTACGTGATGATGGTAGTAGTAGGGGGAGATAGTCCCCGAGTTACCGGCCGATAGGGCCGAATGGGTAGTTTAATACCCAGCTATGCTAGATTATGATTACGTGACTGTATGTGATAGACCGGTCGAGAGGACCTAAGGGGTAGGCCAACACCCATATATGCTAGGCAAGGTCACCGGTCGAGAGGACCGAAGGGGTAGGTCGGGCACCCAGATATGCCTGGCAGCATGTATGTATATGGTTGTATGGTATATGGTGTGATGGGGGAACTCACTAAGCTTCGTGCTTACAGTTTACAGTTTTGTTTCAGGTACCTCTTCAACGAAAGGGAAGGAGCCGGCGCGGTAGCGATACATCACACTCATGCATGATTTCCGCCTTGAGTTTCTGGGATTGTACTCTGATGATTATTAATATTATTATTATCCGATGATATGTTTTTGAGACACGACGTAATGGTTTTATGAATTAATTTAATATTAGCAATGTTTGATAAATGACTTTACTTAATTAAAAATGAAATTTTTAGCCTTGAAAATTGGGATGTTACAAGTTGGTATCAGAGCCTTAGTGTGAGGGATTCGGATACACTCTTGGGTGTGTCTGAACTCAAACTGAGGACTTGGTATGAAATTTTTCAAAAAGAAAAACATTTTTTTTATGAAAAGAGTTTGAAAAGAGAAAAAGGAACTT